AGCCCATAAATGGAGGCGGCCGGTCCATTTATGAGGCAAGAGCCATGGTCAGCGGCTTCTGGCCCATCCCTTGCAGCTACCCAGTCCCTGTTTGGGGGGGAGCCCCAGTTCCTCCCTCCCTTCCTCCTTCCCTTTCCTTCGCTTTGGGTTCCCCCTTTGTGCGTCATGTCTTTTGTGTGTCGGTGAGTAGCTTTGAATGTGGGTTTTGTGAGCCTCCGCAGACCTGGGAGATGGGGGGGTTTCTGAGAACAGCCCAGGGCTCCCACTCGCCAGGAGAGGCCGTGGGAGGCAGCTCTTCTGCAGAGGGCTGAATGGGGGGGGATGCAAAATACTCACAGGCGGATTGGGAGGTGCAAAGGCTGTTCTTGGGATTCCCCCCCGCCCATCCCAGCTGCCATCCACGCCACCTTTCCTCATGGCTTCCCAGTTGTGCCCAGTTGGGAGAGACCAACATGACTGAGCAGTGGCTGAAGGAGGCCTTGTTATGGAGGGAGCGAGGGGGCCGGGCATCCCGGGGGGGTCTCTGCTCTTCCCAGAAGTGCGGGGTCAGAGCTGATCGCTTCTGGGCCCAGGCACAGCTGCCAGCGCCTGCTTTCTGCCCACAAGCAGCTCTCGGCCTCCCGTAGCTGTGTGGACGAATCCCGAGGGTCTCCCAAGGTCAGTCCTGCAGTGCTCGAATCCTGTGCAGCCCCCTCCTCTGCTCTCTCTCCCCCTTCCCCGCTTCCTTCCGCCTTGCTAGCTCTTATCTGTGTCTTTTCCAGACTGCCAGGCTGGAAAAAAAAATGGAGATTAGTAGATCGTCTTGACTAGCCAACTCCCAAGACCATGGTGCACAGCTCCCCACCCCCCTTGTCCATTTTATTACCCTGGGACTGGCGATCGCTTCTTCCAGTTGGTGGGGAAGGAAGCCCCGGGAATCCCTCTCAGGAACTCCTGGCCTGAGCTGGTCTTCTGGGGCGGGTGGGAGATTTGGGGGGAGAGGTAGTCTCCTGCTGAGTCGGCCATTTCTGGGGCTCCGGGCAGAGGGAGCCTCTTGGAGGGAGAAGCTCAGAGCCTCCAAGGCATTTAGGTGGGTTTGGAAGAGGGATCTTCCCCTCCAGCAAGTCCCTGACCTCCCCACCCCACCTGCTTCTCCACTCCTTGGCTGCCCCCCCCTTTGAGCTCCCCCCGTTATGCAGACTCACCTGCTCTTTCTCTCTCCCCCACCCCAACAGTCCTGCCAGCAGTAGCAAGTTCGGCTCCTCCGGCAACATCAGTCCAGGCAGCTCCCAGCTAAGCGAGGCAGAACAGGTTGGCTCGGAGCAGGAGGAGGAGCTCCCAGAAGCTGGGTCTGTGGCTCTGACCCTGCCGGACATTCAGGAGCCCCCGAGCGAGCCGGCCGAGTCCCAGGAAACTCGCCAGGAAGGAGGCGAAGAGGGGGCCGAGGTAGGTGGGCGCTCTCGGCTCCCGGGAGAGGAAGAGGACACCCCCAAAGCTGCTCCGGAACCCCCAGGGAGGTAAGGAGCGCTGCGTCCTCCGTGCTGTGGGTCCGGGAATAGCCTGCCTCCAGCGGAAGGGGCCTGCTATGGGCCTCGCGGGCCAAGGGATTTTGGCTGGAGGGTGTGTCCAGGGGAAGGGCCTTCTCTGCTGTGGTCCCGGCCCCAGGGGATACCCGAGCACCTGGGTTGGCTGGCTGGCTTGGAGCCCTCGGGGGGGGGGGGGCGTGTTGCTCACCGCTGGAACCGGTTGACAGGTGGATCTCATCCCCGTTTCCCCCCTCCCCCATCGCCTTGATTCCGGTTTTAAATAGCATAGTACTATTAATTTTAGTCATTTCTATCTTTATCTCCTTACTCTTTGTAAGCCCCCCCCCCCAAGAGCCGCCTTCTGTTGAAAGAGGCCGCTTACGAATGAGTCCTTTGGGCTTCCCGCTACGAGGAGCCCGTCCTCCGAGGCTTCCCGGGGTCCCATCGCCTGGCTATGGAGGTCTCCTGTCCCTCTGCAGCTGGAACAGAGCAGAGTCCTAGACCTAGACGACCTCGGACAGGTGACCCTCCAGTCTCCCTCAGGACTTCCAGCAATGGAGAACTTGCCCACCTGGCATGGCCGGGCTCTTGGGGGGGGGGGGGGGGGGCGGGCTGCCCATGTGGGATAAGCCAGAAGAATCCTGCTCCCTCCTGTGCCTGAGGACCCTTCAGATATCTTTGGTTCCCTCTGGAGGAAGTGACCTTCCTCCTCTCCATTTGGGCCCAGTGTGCAAGCCCCCCCCCCGCCCTTTGATTTGTCTCCCTTAAAGTATTAGTTACCCATCTCGTCTCCTGGGTAGTTGACAACATAAACATCTTAAAAGCCCTTGAAATCATCCATTGTAAAATAACACCCGCAGATAAAACCATTAAGACCAGATGGGGAGAGGAGGGGACTGGCTGGGGGTGGGAGTGGGGTTAGTTTTTAATTAGTTAGCCACCTCCCGTATGAAACGCCCCCCATAGGAACCCCCAGCCATCTGGGCCTTCAGGCTCTTAGGAAAGGTCTGGAGGGCGGGGGCCCTCCTCTCCTCGGGAGCCAGATGTACCGGAGGGCAGGAGCCATGGTGGAGGAAATGGCTGTAAAACACGTCACATTAAGATTCTGGTGGAAGGCGCCTGGCACTTTCGCTCGGGAGGTGAAGCCCAAGGGGTCCTTTTGGGGAAGGGGCTCCTCCCTTGGGGTTCACCCGGTGGGGAGCCTTTTGCCCTCAGCCCCCCCAGGCCGAACGTTTGGGGTCTCTCCCAGCCGTCTCAGGAAGCGGAGACGTTGGCTGCCCAGTGGAGCCCCCGGCTGCTCGCGGGGCCCTTCGAGTCAAAACCCCACCCCTGAGCGGCACCTGGAACCAGTGGCACCTTTGCCCCATTGACCCATCAGTACATTTCTATACACAGTCCGTGCTGTGCCAACCGTGTGAACATGCAGCCGTGGAAGTGCGAATCTCTCCCACTTCCTCCCCAGTTAAAAGAAAAGACTCGATTCTTCATTCTTTTTGTGTTCTCCGTTTCTTGCCAGCCCGCTGGATGAAAACGAGACGCTGCTTTTCGCTCCGGCCAGAGCCCGCTGGATCCGTGCCATCACCAAAGTCCGGCTCCAGTTCCAGGAGGTAGAGCCAATTTTTTTCCTCCTTCCAGTTCTTGGCATGAAGAGGTGTTTTTTTGGGCGGGGGGAGCGGGGGGAGGTCTTTCTCCGAAGGCTTTCTCGGGGGTCCAAGAAGCCACTCCAAGGCTCGAGAAACTGGGCGGCTGAGACCTCGGCCCTGGGATGGCCAGCTAGTCTCTTGAAGGATGGAGGCCTCGGAGGGGGCTGTTGCCTTTCCCACCCCTCCTACAGGTAGCGGACTCTGTGTTTTGGGGCGCCCCAGAGGGTCCCAGATATGCAGACAGAACCTGTGTGCTTTGGGGCACCAAATCAAAAGAAGGGCCGGTTTGGTGTAGGCCGGGGGTGTCTGTCCCTTTAAGGCTTCTGGACTTCAACTCCCTTGTGCTGCCTGGGGAATTCTGGGAGTTGAACTCCAGAAGCCTTAAAGTGGCCACAGTTTGACATCAATCTCTGGGATTTCGGGAAGTTTGCTGTGGATTGTGGCCAGGTTTCCTCACGTGGGGCTTCTGTGGCACGCAGCGGGTCTGTTGCTCGAAGCCCCCCCTCACTTTGTCCCCTGGAACAAGCTGGCCAACGCTGGAGCCGGGAGCCCCTTCTTAGGTTGGGCAATGCAAATCCTTCGTGAAACCGTCTGGCACAAAAAGCTTCCGCGGAAAGGCCCTGCGAGTTTTGTTGGTGCTGACTTTGGGGGAATTTGTGGTTTAAATGATGAGCCGAGGTGGTGCAGTGGTTAGGGTGCAGTACTGCAGGCCACTTCAGCTGACTGTTATCAGCAGTTCGGCGGTTCAAATCTCACCGGCTCAAGGTTGACTCAGCCTTCCATCCTTCCGAAGTGGGTAAAATGAGGACCCAGACTGTGGGGGCAATATGNTTTTTTAACATTTTCTAATGGTGGTGTGCCTCATGATTTTTTTCATGAAAAAAGTGTGCCTTTGCACAAAAAAGGTTGAAAAACACTGTACTAGTGCATTCCCTGCATATAGTACTGTCTAAATAGTCCTGATGAAGTTTTTCCATTGGAGTAGCAGCTCTATCATCATTCAGATTTTATATAATACAAAGAAGAGATTTCATGTGGTAGGCTTGTTGTGTGTATATGATCGCCAACCGTTTTCTATGCACTTCAATTCTATCTGTAGCAGAGGTGGGCTGCTCCCAGTTTGGCCTGGTTTCACCCGGTTTTGCCAAACTGGTAGTGGTGATTTGGCAGAACCGGCAGCAACCCAGGCTGGCCACCCCCCTGAACCGGTTCCCTGATCTCTTCTGCTGTTGCTGGCATGTTTCTGTGCATGTGCAGAACAATTTACAGTCAGCTGTGCATGTGCGAGCAATGCGCAGCGGGCGCGCCCCCGCACCTGCGCAGCAAACCAGTACCAACTGGTACAGGAACCCACCCCTGATCTGTAGGGCTGGGTCAGAAACCATAATGCAGAACACATGGTACTCCTTTAACTGCCTTTTGCGATACCTCAATTTGAGTGCTGCTTCTCCTTCCTGATTCCTAACTATCAGCTGCCAAAAGCCACCCTCATGATTTCATAATATGATAATCCATGCTAGATCAGTTGGTGATAAAGCAAGAAGTACTACAAAAGTTCCTTATTGTGACAAGAAGACTACTGTGACAGATGCTGCTGACAGGTTCTTCTTGGCAGTACATAAGTCATCAGTCTAGAGCAAGCACTCCCAAATTGTTCACATCTGGAAGAACATTTCTGCATGAAAGACATAATTTTGAGCTTTTATTCATTCTCACTTTGAGATAAGGAAAAAATCCCCACAGCAGCTGAAATCTCTTCTACGTGTTTCTGGTGTAATCTGCTGCAGTATTAATCTCTCTCTTAATAATTCTTCTATCTTTTCAATACGTCTATTTATTTTTTTCATTTTAGGAAAGTTTGATGCTTTCAATTTTGCCCAGACATGTAGCAGATGAAATGCTGAAGGATATGAAGAAAGATGCAAGCCAAAAAGAATTGCAGCAGTTCAATACCATGTATATGTACCGCCATGAAAATGTCAGGTAACGAATGTGGCTCTTTTAAGGAGGATATTCTGTAGATCAGAGTTCCCCAATCTTTCTGGGTTGGTGGCCCAGAGGGGGAGAGGGGCAGGCACCCTTACCTGCACATGCACAAATGCCCCCCCTTGTGTGAACTGGGCCGCAAGCGCGCACAAAACTTGCAGCGATGCTATTGCCCATGTGATACAGCAATGCTAGCACCCATGTGACGCTTGTGGTGACGCTAGCGCCCACATGATGCAATGTACAATGCTCGCGGTGATGCTAGCGTGACTAGGGAGTGCGAGCACAAGCGTACACAGGCCAGCCACTCGCGTGGCCTGTAGTGGGGCATGGCTGCTATATATAGTTTGCTGGTACTGACAAGGCCATCTCCTGGATCAGTACACAATAAGAGAAAATTAAATCCAATGCTAAGCCATTATTTGAAGTAAATCTTTATGGGTACAATGAGTGTCTCTAGTGGAAAAGGTAATTACATAATTCAGCTATGACCCAAAGCACAATTCGAGCAAAATAACTTTCCAAATTCATCACAATGTAACATGCAGCTCAGAAGCAGAAGGAATAATATAATTATTGTGTTTAGTGTTGCAATAAAACAACAGAGCAAAAGTAGACAATTGTTTTCTTCATGCAAACTGGTTTGCATTTCTCCAGCAAGCACCTTGAGCCAATACCACTGAAACCCTAACAGCCAAATATGGGACTTTGTGGTGGTGATAAGAGTTTTAAGAATGGGAATGGAATGGTGTGACACTGGGAGGCCTCCTGTTCCCAACCCTACCCTTACACGCTTCCTAAAACTGAACAAAATTAGGTAGGTCATTTCAATGTGTTATTAAATTAGCAGATAGCCTCTTGTGGCCCTCCACACAGTTGGGAGTCAGTTGCAGCCCCTGATGTCTTAAACACTGTACGCTTCTGAAATAGAAGAAGCTAGTAAACATCAATGTGGAGTAGAATTAAAGCAGAAAAGCAGAAATATCAAGGAACTGATGACATCGAGATTAAATTTCAGATGAGAGAGTAATAAATCAAATGATACAACAGCCATCATAAATTGTTTTTGCTGCAGCTAAGTTAAATGATGACATCTCACCTGTTTTGGATCTCATGTCTTTCATTCTACAGTGTCCTTTTTGCTGACATCGTAGGTTTCACGCAGCTGTCATCCACATGCAGTGCCCAAGAATTGGTGAAACTTTTGAACGAACTCTTTGCTCGATTTGATAAACTAGCAGCTGTGAGTTTCTTGATTATTTACTTACATATAATTCTGGAAATCCTTTAGATCTTTGGAGCAAATTGTGCGTAATTCAACCCAAACTACCCGTCTTATTTGTAATTATGGCTTTATGCAGCATGAAGCAAATTAAAAATGGAAAAGAAGCAGACAAACACAATTCTGATGTACAAGCACTAATAAAAGGGAAGATTTACCTGAGATGAGATTAAGCTGCCCTTCTGCTTCCCCCCACCCCTCTATTTTTAAAGTATTCTTGCCAAAGAGCCATTCTATATTTTTTTTNGTTCATTCGTTCATTCGTTCATTCGCTCCAACATTCAGTTTCTATGCTGCCCATATCACCTGGTGATGATAGTCAGACCATAAGGATACTGATTAATGTGACATCACTTGATGCTCCACAGATTCCATGGATCAGGCCTGTCAGCAGAAGCATGATCAGGATCTCGAATCTGACATTTTCCTTCTAACAAAGAAAGGAGCACTGCAGGCATGCAATCTAAGCTGTGTGTGAGACATGTATTGTACATGGCCAAAAGGCCACCCCTTTTGCCCATGGACAACATATCTCACACATATAGCTTAGATTGCATGCCTGCAACATATTTCTGATGTTTTATCATTTATCAGGTAGCTTTGATCTCACTATGGGATCCTTTGTGCGTTGGAGACCTTTACAAATGTAGTATATTCCAGTATATTCTCTCAACACTTTCATAGGGTGGATAAGGCAGAGCACAATACCTTTGGATTCTGTGTACAGTGAATGTATGTAACAAAATGCACAATCTCCATAATTAAAATGTCAAACCGAAGTAGAAAAAGTATCCAGAGTCTAAGAGGGAAAATAAATCAGAGAACAGAAACATTGTCCAGATTAAAGATGCTCTGGATCCAAACATCTTTCAGTTTTCCCCTTAATTGAATTGAGAAGGATGAAGGTACGTTCTTAGCAAATAACTACATTAGTCTTTCATGTGGTTAATATTAATGTCTCTCTATTCAAACATGCTAAAAACTGAATAGAACAGATAACATATAACAGTCACACATCCTCAGTTGGATACAGAGAGCATTGCTAACACAAATGGAAGATTTCCCACCTTTTTAGATCTTCAACTCTCAGGTCAGTTCAAAACAAAAACCAAAATTAAACAAAAAAGGGAAAAAAACCCAATAATTGGACCATTAATACATTGCCTATCTAAATTTGCTGCATTCAAGAAAAGCAAATTTGTGTTATGTTTTAAGACAGGCATAGCCTAAAGCAGAGAATTCCTTCTCCAACAGAAATCCTTCAATGTGTTTCCAAAATATTGTTTTATAGATAGCTGGGATGCAAAATACATTCTATGTGTCCATTCTTAGGCATCCCAGCCAATTCAATATATGTTGTCAAGAGAAACTTTGAGAATTACCCAGCCTGAAGAGGAGCCCTGCTCTTAGATGTAAAGTATTAGAAAGATAATTCTTGTTGTTTTGTGAGAATATCAGATCTGGTACAAATTTGCCCTCTGATGTGGCTTTCTTGAAAACACATGTCTAAGATTTCAGCTTTAGAAAGTTGTGTAAACAAGATACTTCTGTCAACATTTAAAAGGGAGAAAACAAGTGGTTTGTGTGCTCTTTTTTTTTAAAAGAAATATATGGTCTGATAGCAGAGGTCTATGGAACTGGGAGAAAAATAAAACATACTTTTCATATTTTTATCCAGTTCGTTTCGAAAGAGCCCAAATGTTGCTTTCTTCAGATTTATGTGGGAAACAGAATTAGGAGACCCCACTTATAGAGAAAACATGGAATCATGTTAATACAATTTATTCCCCCCTCCAAATGTTCTGACTTTGAATCAGTCTTCTTTATTTTTTTATCTACATTGAGCATGTATTTTAAAATATATGATTCTGCATTAAAGAGGATAGATAGATAGATAGATAGATAGATAGATAGATAGATAGATAGATAGATAGATAGATAGATAGATAGATAGATAGATAGA